TTGAGGGTTCAGCCTCCTGATGAGTCGGTGAAACTCCGACGAAACAGTTTGTCACAGCCCCTCGTTTGTTGTCCTCTTCTCCCTCTCTGCCTACGGTTTACCGGGCAGTTCTATTTGACGATATATACGGTTTACCGGGCAGTTCTATTTGACGATATATATATATATATATATATATTTGTGTTTTTGCCCCGGCCGGGCAAGTGGTCCCGAGCCACTCTGGTAGCCTAGCATTTTATTAAATTCTTCTAAACCCCCTATGTCCGGGCGTCGTGTTAGATCCAATTGCAATACTCCGCAATAGTATGTCACTCACATCACACTCTACTAGGATTCTAGACTAAACCCCGCTAGTGGGACTTGGGCCCAGGTTTTCTATTCCCTGTTTTTCTGCGTGCTCTGACACTGTTCTGTCTCGGTTACTGTGTGTGCTCTGGCTACTGCTCTCCATGCACTCGGGCAGCAAGAGTGTATGGGTTACACTGCTACAAAGCTGGGGTTGCCTTTCAGCCAATTTGACATCGACAAGGACTTGGATCCGCTGTTCAAGGTATGTAACTGTCTTTTCTTCAAGGCTGGGTGCTGTTGAGGGAACTCATTTAATGCAGTACTATGTGTGTGCAGCAGTGTATATTTGTGTACACACATCCTCTTCATCAAGGTTCAGGTTTGGACCTTAGGCCTGGCCACTAGATGGGGTGGGCTCCTTGGAGATTTGGCGCCAGATAGCATGTGCCTTCTCTCTCCTATAGGCCTGGTAGAGGCCATATTGTGAGGGAACACAAGGGTGGTTATGCTGATACAAGTGTAAGAAAAGATACTCATTCTGAATGCTGGATTGAAATGCTGAAGGAGTGGGAAACGCCAACACATATATATCTTGTGGAATGCACTTCTTTCATCCTCTACGTGGTAGGGCTTCACTCAATTCATGACAATTTAATGCAAAGAACATTTTTTGTGGTCTCTTCTGTCCCAGATCCTGTGGCGAAACCTTGGTCTCTTAACGAACTTAGTGTGAATGAAGATGGTGATGGTTTAATTCACCGATGGCAACTTGGCCAAAGTATTACATATGACGCAAATAATACTTTCGTTTTTCAAAAGAAGTTTGGGTGGATGCAAATTTGTGGCCTCTTCTATCTTGGCCCCCGACATAGGCAAGCAAGCTGCATCGCATGTCAGCATGAACATGCAAAACGTGACACTTCCTTGCCTGCATGCATTGATACAATCGCTCCATATCATGATCTTTACCATTGGACGGATAAGATCCGTGGAGGTCTGTGTGCAGTTCGGTCGCATACTTCGGTAACTGGCCAGTTATGATTAGTCTAGCTTTATCGTGCTGACAATGGATCTTGGCTCAAGTGGTTCACCGAAACGACGAGACCAAACAAAATCAATGTTGCAATCGCCAGAGATCGTCACTTTTCTGCATTTTAGAAACTGGTGCCTAGTCTTTGGCTGTCACTCTCCTCACAGATCATGTATGCTTGTACTGCCCTTGTGTTCTACAGGAGGCATGGTGCAAGAAGCATCCGCCACAGCTTCTTGTTCCTGGCTACGCTATGCAACCTCCAATTCCGAGGGTTGTGAGCACAGTGCCACAGTTGGAGGAAACTCCTGAGAGGATGAAGCTCATTCAAAATGCCATTCAGATCGGTCAACTCATTCAGAACCAGTGCCCTGGTTTCTTGCACAATGCCCGACAGGTGAGCATGAAGTCGGAAGGCAAAGAGATCTTCCAAGCATGGCTTGCTTTGTGGCTCTCTGCTATCCCTCTTTTCTCAGTTCTCTTATTGTGTTTGGAACAGTGGAGCTTGTTTGTTTCCTGTTTCTTTTTGTTTTTCTCCCTTCCTCTTGTTTTTATCACTTGCAACACTGTGTTTGGAACA